GGAAGGTTTCCCTGCCCATGGCAGGGGGGTTGGAACTAGATGATCTTTGAGGTCCCTTCCAACCCTAACCATTCTGTGATTCTATGATAACTGAAGAGTTTCATAGCATGCCCAGACCTTTAATAACGCCAAAACTCTTTCTAAATGCAGATTGTCAACACAGGAAATAGAAGAAAGAGCACAAACTCTTGGTCTTTTTGAAACTTTGAAAAACAGTCCTGAAACCTTACATGAACACATGGTTAAATATGTTTACCCAAGTATTGAAGGTAGAGATCACCAGCGATTGCTTTATTATTTTACGCTCCTTGAAAGCTGTGGTTGCTCAGAAGTGGGGAAGCATGCTGTTAAACCTGAAACTCACATCCGGCTCCTCAAAAAATTCAAAGCAGTTGCACCAGGTAGGAGAGTTCCTGTTTCTTTTGTTCATAGCTGTGTTTATTGTTCTGTAATGTGAGTGTTGACATGGTTATGTTTATCTAGTTCATACTCTCCAGGTAGTGTTTTTTTCAATGAGCATTTCAGATGAATGCAAGTAATTTAGTAGGTCAGTCACAGTTCATAGAAGTAAGTTCCTTCTCTTTGTATTACTGGAAATTTAGTTTACTCTGTCATAGCAAACAAAAAGTATTTAAGAACAGATTTCTGTTGGTGATGCAAGTTAAAATTACTGGCAGTGGTTCATAGTGTATTTTTCAAGAAAAAATACAGACCTCCTAGAGCATAATTTTTAACACTGCAAGTTTGACATGAGTATTCTCAAAGAACTTAAGACAGTTTACCTTTCAAAAGTCTGAATTACATAATGTATCAGAAGCTTTAAACATTTTGCTTGTTTTTTGTTTTAAAGAGAGTAATTTTATTTTGTGTTTTTTCCTTGATATTACCTTTTGATTTTGCAGAATTACATTATTTGTCCTCCTATGTTAGCGGACAATGCCTATAAAAATGATCTGCTGGAAAGCACTCTGAAATTTTGAACAAGTTTCAATTTGCTTGTTAGTCAAATATTAGCAGTATCTTGAATTTCATTTCAATAACTCCAATTCCAGTTTCAGAATGAAAAATACACACTGTATGGGATTACCTGCTGTGGAGATGAATTAATTGTTCAATATTGGAACCTCATGTGTATCAGCCACTAACTTTGCTGCACAATTTGGGGAGATTGTGGATATGAATTTATGTATTGCAAGAAGAAAAAAAGGCAGTAGTTTTTTTGAGGGATGGTATTGCCTTCAGTTCTCATTAATGTGTTTAAACACTTGAGTTCTACAGTGCTTGTCAAAGAAAAATCTGTCAAGTTACTGTTGGCCTTTAAATTTATTTTAAATGTTGCTCAGAAAAAAAGTCCTAGGACCATACGTCAAACATAAAGTCGTCACTTTGTACAACCAAAAATAAAATCTATTGTATTACACCCTTAATAATTAAGTTCTCAGTGTTCAGCATAGTTTATCGATAGCAGGCAAGGGACAACATCAAAGTTTTTGCAGCGGTTACAGGCCCTAAGTATATTAAGAAACACATGGCAATAGAAGTTGGTTGTCTTAGGAATTAGATGCATAGAGAATAAAATAGTATTGTTGCTAGAAATGTTTTGTTATTGCTATAATAATTTACAAGAGTTTTCTTCCTGTAGGAACCAGAGTAGTAACAGGACTCTTGAATTATATAGATATTCATGTAAATGGATCTACGTCCTGTCTCTAGCTGACCTTCCTTTGTTTACTTGTGGTTAGTGCCTTGCATTTTTGCCAAGATAGGTAGCAAGTGCCAATTGTTACATGATCAGAATACAATACGTGGTTTTTGAGTAAGGAAGACTTATGTCTTGAGGTGCATGAGGTTTTCTAGGCTTCAAATTAAAAAAATAGCTGCACGATTCTATATACATTCTCTATTTTTTTTTTCTTCGAGAATCTGCTTTTTCAGTTTGTATATGTAATGTTAAAATATGTTCCAGGAATTTGAGACGTTTCACGCACATGAGGTAATCATAAAATCCCAGTGCTACTTGTATACAAATCTGTCTTCCTGCCCAGTCTGTCATTATGTGTGACTCTAAAAGGAGACAGAGTAGAGTCTTTCAGATTCTGAAGATACTGATTTAGTGCTGAGTGTTTTACACATAAATGTAGAATTTGAGTAGACAACTAAAAATAACTCTTATTTTGTTTTCGTCTTTCTCCTTCTGTTAATAGGTCTTAATTACAAAAAGCTAACAGATGAAAATGAAAACCCTCTGGAAACACTGGAGCCCATCCTTACAAGTCAAAATATCTTATCTATTTCCAAACTGGCTCCCAAAATTCCTAAAAAAGATGGCAGCATGCTGTCAGCAAGCTCCATTTATGCTGTCTGGTTACAAAAACTCTTTTGGAATGGTGATCACCATCTCATTAAAAAGATACCAGAAACCGTGGATGAATGGCTACATGCATATGATATGTGTTCAAAGTACTTCGATAGGCTTGATCCAGATGATATTGTCACTTTTATTGATGAAATTACCTTTTCTTCAAAAGCTGTCACAAAGGTAAGCAGATATATTTGAAGAATTTCAGGCCTCAGGTGAGGCACAGTTGAATATAGTATCAAGGAGAAAGTCTCAGCAAATTGTTACGTTTTTCATTTCACAGTTTTTAAAGATAAATTCATAAACCTACCTTACTCTGCCTATCTCTTATTCTTATGACTGCTAGTAAAAAAAAAAAAAAAAGATTTTTATTCAGTTAGAGGAGTTATATTTGTGGATAAGAGAGTTCTTGATGGAACCCCTAAGTCTCTGTATTCTGGTTCAGCAAAGAATAAGATATTCTTCCTGTGTATTTGTTTATTTTACTTGTACTCATCTGAAAATTCATTGTGCCGCAGGCTTGTGTTTAGTACCAGGCGTTTGCATTCTCAATAGGATGCTTCACAGAGAAGTGTTCTGGGCCAATGCATATGGTTTCTAGGCACTGTAATAATATAAATGATAAACTCTGTCATAATCTCCATCTGGCTGAAAGCCTGTTATTGAAAGAACATGCTTTCATGTCCGTAACATACATTACCAGATCTGCAGTTTCTTTTTGCCCAGTGAAACCTACTTACAAGGATATTTCTAATATAAAATTTTACCCATGCTATGTTATATATCTTTACTGCCAAGCACAAAAAAGAAATGAGATTTTTTAGTTATTTCCTTAATAAAAGATCTTGAGATGTCTTCACTAACTTCATCTGAAATTAAAAGATAATAAAGAGGAATGGGTTTTGTGGGGTTTTTTTGTGTCTTTATCTTCTCTATTCTGGACTGTGCTCATTTTCCAGAGGTGTTCATTCACTGCGTTCAATGAGGTAAATTTCAATTTGTTCCCTCATTGGATATTTGGATATACTAGATGATCTTTAAGGTCCCTTCCAACCCAAACCATTCTATGATTCTGCGATATTGTTTCAGTGTTCTCACGATACTAGTATAAATTTATTAGAACCCATCTAACCTGTATCTATACCAGAATTTAGTGGAAAAAATACTTACTATTCACTGAAATCCTGGGAAAATGAAAAACTTTGTCAGCACCATATCTATGCTTTGATCTACCTGTCATACTTTATCACAGTTTATCACTAGTTCCATTAGTTGTCTCTTAGGCCTGTTCAGCAGAACTACTGTCTCGTTGAGGTGTTTTGATCCTTTTTATCACATAGCTTGTACAGAGCGTTTCATGCTTATTGGGTAAGACCGACACTTGTCCTGAGATCTCAATTGCCAGACCTGACCCTGGACTGAGGTAGCCAGGGGATGACTGTTGTCTAATGAGAAGGAAATATATATGATCACGTATATTGCCACTAGTGACTGCTTCAGACTCTTGCTGTTAATGTACCTTGGGCGTTTCAAGATGATTTCTCATTCATTCCAGGTGGATGATGCAGGGAGACGATGGATAGCTTCCACTGTGTATCTGTTTTGAAATGCATTGCTTATTTTCCTTTGTTTATTTCTCTTTAGGATTCTAATACAGTTTCTCTACTCTCTTAAGATGAGTAGGAGTAGCAGGAGGGAAATATCAATGGCAGGATTATTGTGGTTGCTGGCCAAGCAGAACTTCGTAGCAGAAGTCTGTTAGCATTTTGGCCATGAAAGATAATCACGAAGTGTTTGAAACAGTTGGTCAAATCAGCTGATTTGGTGTGTCCTCTGCGTTGGGTTTGGGAATGAAGCAGCTGTTTAACCGGCTTGCCACTAGTTTTGCCTCAGGATCCCATCCCATTTCACGTGGAAGCATACAGTGAAAAATTATCATTGTAGAACCTGAAAACTTATTTCTCAGAGATCTCTTTTCTGTAAGTTTGATCTGAAAAATGCTTCATATGTAAAAGCTACCTTTTGGTTTGTACCTTTTAGTTTAAATTTTGTTGTGTTTTGAGGCTGCACTGGTCATGTGATCACTCTTTTAATTCCTAATTCAGCACTTTCTTCCCAGCCCAGTTCTATGGCTAAGTATACTTTATTATAGCAGTTTGCCAGATGCACATTTCTGTATTTCATGGAAATGCTGATATTTAATAGATGTAAAGGACTGCAAAAAACCATGGTCATTATCATGAAAATGATCTGTGCTGTCACCGAGACAGATAAGTTTTCTCATATACAGAAGATTTGTTGAGTTCTTTAAAGTGGACCTTGAGAGGAAGCTTAAAGTGAGACAGCGTAAGTAGGTTTTTTAGGAGTACCAAGTAGTGAATTGGCTCCTTCCCCTTTTACCAGAAAAAAAAAAAAACAACAACCTGCTGCACACACACGCCGCCCCTCTCCCACCACCTCAAAATTTCAAGGGGAAGAAGATAAAGGAGAGAGAGAGACGGAGAGGGAGAGAGAGAAAGAGTAGTCCAGGGAGGTGATGAAATGCACTCCATCATTATCCTTGTGGAACAGCACCTCCTTCTAAAAGCCCATCTTGATCAGAAACAATCAAGAAAAGTCTTGAGTGATGAGGGGTAATGGGAGGTAGGTTACCTAGCAGTGTAGGTTACAGGAATTGAACTTCAAGGGTTCTATTGTCACCACGTGGGAACTTAGGAAGCAGACATTAGAATATTTCCCACTATTTCAACATATCGACAGTAGTAAGGAGAGGCAGATGAGGGCCCAGCAAAGCAATAGGAAGCTGCTTCTATGTGCGTGTCCCTTGATGTGGCAGAGAACCTGGGAGCAGAATGTGCAATTGTGCAAAAGGGAATGAAAATGCGGGGATTTAGTGCTGACTTCTGCAACTTCTTGTTCTTACTGAGAAAGACAGGAAGGTGCTGGGCTTCGATGGGGCCCTCTTCTTCACCCGTCCCCTTCCACTAGCTCTGCTTTTTAACTTTCTGGTAAGTTGGGCCAGCAATGACTGAATGGAAAGGTGGATGAATGAGCAGTGCTTGACTAGGCAAAGGAGTTAAGAGAATGTCTAAATTGGAGAAATGGATGGGGAGTTTGCCTTTGTGAAAGGGCAGCTAGCCTTGTTATACTGGCTTGTAGTTTAAGGTGTGACAAGGTTTTAGATGCTTTTATCTCTAAGAGTTCAGAGATTCTTTTCTCCCATGTTTCTTGCAATCAATAGAAATGAGTGACCACCTAGAAGATGAGATTCAGTTCCCCAGCCTTAAGGGTTCAGAGAAATGGTGACATTGAGTGGTGGGAACTGTGTGAGCAGAGATGCATCATAGTGAGACTTCAGTAAATCATAGACCCATGGTAACATGGCTAATGTCCTGGATATTCTGTATGAGACAGATTAGACTGCTTCCCAAAATTTAGTATTTTTTTGATCTGCAGCATATCCCGTAGGAGATGTTTTATAATTTTGGAGGGGTTAAAGGTGACTTGTGAATCCAGAGTAATCCTTGATTGCTCTAGTGGCTAATTATTCACTGTCTATATTTTAAAAACAGCTTTTTTGCTAAACTGAATTTATCTAGTTTTGAAATTCCACCTATAGACATTTTGCCTGCTGTACTGAAGAGGTGGCCATCAAAGTTTTCTTCCACAGTCAGACATTCAGCAGAGGCCACTTAAACTTGACTTTGATAAACTGAATGAACTGACCTTGGGAAGTTTTTTTTTTTTTTTTTTTTTTAATGTGTGTGGTGGGTTTTTTTTGTGTTGTGGGTTTTTTTTTAGTGTGTGTAGGGGGGATGTTGTTTTGTTTTCTCTTTTTCCCAGCTCTTCCATTATTATCACAACTCTTTTTTGGGTCCACTATATCAGCATCCATCTTCAGTTGAAAAGGGTGGAGATTGATGCAATATCCCTGTTCTGTTTGTTGTAAATGAAACAGGTGAAGTCCTTTACTCTTCGTCAGTACCCACCTCACACACTGAGGGGCTGAAGTATTTCTCCTTTGACCACAGCAGCTCACTGCTGCAAGCAGTGAGAGTTCCTGCTTGTGGCACTTCTACTCAGAAATGCTTTTAATTCTGAATAGCTGTTCAAATTTTTCTGTCATCTTTCTTTCCAGCAGCTCTGTTTGCTTTTAAATAATGCTGACTTCATAGATTCTTAATTATAATAATGATCATAGCAACTTTTTTATCTTGATGATTTCCCTTTTGTGATCTGTGTGAAGCATTTTGGGTAATTTAGGGATTTTTTTTTTTTTTATTCTTTGTTGCCAGCATTTTGTTCATTGTACTAGATATGTCTTCAAAGAACCATCTGTTTCAGAGCTCATAGGTCATTGCCCTGACGTTTGTTGATTAACAGTACTCTGAAGAAAGAGCCCAACACAACAAAATAAAAACAAAACCACAACTGAAAACAATTACTTTTTTAATTGCTGTTTTTTCATTATTGAACACTCACTACAAATGGGGATGAGCACAATATGTTGATTAGGAAGAAAAGACTACAGCTTTAGACAGCCAAAGTAGAATAAAAAACATTGGTATCATCAGTTAGATCTTCTATAGATAAAGAGAACTTGAAATTTTCCTTAAACACAGGCTCTTCCTTGCAGCCTTCTGTAGGCTTGGCCACGTTCGTTCAAACTATGGCTGATGATATTTTTTGTTTACTGTTCCATTCTTTATAGTTTCTTTTTCAACTTCTGATGCCAAGGAAGAACTTTGCTTGCAAATTAATGGTTTTAATTAAAAGTTTGACTCATTTTCTGAGTCAGTAATACTTTTTTGACCATTTTCTTGTTGCTTAAGCAGGAACACGATGTCCGTGTTTTGACCACACACTAAACGAGTGTGGAATGGGAACTTGTTACAACTGGATATTAACCTGCATAATTTTCTCTTTCCATGTTAATGATTTTAAGTGTCATTTTTAATTATTGTATAAAAAGCTCAGTTTAAAAAAAGCTCAAAGTAATATTCAGTTTCTTTTGTATGGCTGATTGACTTTTTAACACTGTATGAAATGCTAAGGAAAAAGGCAGGGCATAACATTGCCTGAAGATGTACAAGAAGTGTGTTAGTAGTGTTCTTACCTAGCATGACTGCATTCAGATGTTACCTTTTGAATTACTTGGCTTCTTTTTATCACTTTCTATCACTGTGCTCCAGCTCAGTCGGTTTGTCTTGCATGACCTTGTTTTCTTCATGGGTATTGTCAGTATCTTTTTCTGATACCGGTACATTTTTACATACTTCCTTGTGCCTTGCCATTAATATAGTTATTATAATTAAATCTTCTTCGAGATTGCATAATAGGAATCTTCATGAATAATGTCTTGTCTTTAACTAGTTCCTTACATGCATTAGAACTTTTACACATCTCAGATGAGCTGTACTAGGTCTGGCAGGGATGGAGTTAACTTCCTTCATAGCAGCCCCTGTGGGGCTTTGCTGTGGATTTGTGACTAAAATAGTGTTGATAACACACCAGTATTTTGGCTATTACTGAGCACTGCTTGCACACTGTCAATGCTTTCTCTTTTTCTCAACACCCTAGCCCTGAGAAGCTGCAGGTAGTCTAAAAGTGAGGAGGGGACACAGCCAGGACAGCTGACCTGGGCTGGCAAAAGGTGCGTTCTATGCCATACGATGTCATGCTTAGCAGTAACAAACAGGGGGTTAGAGGGTGTCTTCCAAGATGGTTGCTTCTTGGATGTTGTCTGGGCATTGGTCTGCTTGTGGGAGGTAGTGAGTGATTGCCTTTGCATCACTTAGTTTTGGTTTGTTCATTGTTTTTCCTCTCTCCTTCATGTATTAAGCTATCTTTATATTGATCCACACGTTTTCTTGCTTTTCCTCTTCTTTTTCTCTCCCCCTGTAGGAACTGGGAACCAGATTTTGTCATTCCTTAACCGTTTAACCTGCTTCTGAGTTAACTAGTGTAATTTACTTTCTGTTCTAGTGTATCTAGTTGGCTTGTGGCTACATGACATTTGCTTGGTGGAATATGTAAAGCTGGGATTTAGTGGCAGAGACAGAAACTGGACCAAACTGTTCCATCTGAGCATCAGGAAACATTTTTCATTATGAGGGTGACTGATCACTGGCACAGGTTTCACAGAGAGGTTGTGGAGTCTCCCACATTGGAGGTATTCAAAAGCCACCTGAACATGGTCCTCAGCAACTGGCTCTAGGTGGCCGCTTGAGCAGGGGGTTTGGACTAGATGTCCTCTAGAGGTTCCTTCCAACCTCAACCATTCTGTGTTTCAATGTTGCTGGGATCCCAGGTTCCTGTGGCATTATAAGGAGAGGAGCTGTTACCATAATGACAAAGTTGCATGCTAATCACTGGTGATAAGAGTAGCAGGGTCACCATCTTCATGTGTAAGTGAGTGTTACTTGTACAATACGTTATTAAGAAATACTTAAATATTCTGGAGGAAATGGGCTTCTGAGATGAGTTTTTACCCTGAGGAGTGAAATCTGTTGAGCTGAAATAGTATGCGATGTTCCTTGATTTGAAGATAAAAGAAAACAGATTTTTAGGAGTTTTCATTACACATTATAGCCTATAGAATTAAAAATCTCTTTAAACTGTAAGAGCTTTTTAAAAAGGAAACTTCACTTCACATGCAAACAAAGGTTGAACTAGCCTCTAAGCTACCTTTTTTTTATCACTGGGTATGATACCAAATCTCATTACTGAAGCTAAATAGAAGTACGGAGGATAGCCATTCATGTTTTGGAATAAAATAGCCAGAGAAATTATACATTTGTAGTGCTGCATTTTGACACTATGCAAATATGAACACAAAATTAAAATAGTCTTGGGAAGAACCTGTATTCTGTTTTTTTTTTTTTTTTTAATGCTTTATTCTGTATGTGCTTACGGCATCGTAACTTCTAAACTGGGAGTATATTCACATTGTTCTCTAGAATATAGCTGTTAGATGGACTGCTTAAATTGTTTGCTTTTTGCGTCTCTCTTAATTGCATTTTGAACATTAGAATGTACAATTGAAGGGGAAAAATGAAAGATGTAGCTGTTTTCATCTACTATCATGTTTACAAAATGCATATATAAACATATATGTGGTCCTTCAATTTTAATGTGATGTGAAGGGTATCACCTTTTCCTTGCTTCTAGTAAAATCTGATACTGAGACCTTGTTCAAAGTATCAAAATCTTACTTAATTACTTTTGGTGGGAATGGAACTGAGTTGCATTTGGAACTGAATGGTAAAATATCCTTTATATTTATCCTGTTAAATGACAAGTTTTCTTAGCTCTTACAGTAATATCCGCCCATTTTCCTTTTGTCTTTAAAATTGTCCAGTAGACCATTGTTGTGGTTTGCAGCAACAGCACAAGAAAACAGGAGTAAACCCTACATCTTTCACTGTGTGATTTTGGTGGGGGAGGAGGGAGGAAGCATATAAGCTGTAAAACGTTCTGCTAACTAATCCTTATTAAGCTTTGTATGGCTTTATAAGTAGATAGTTTAATTCACAATGTAAACATCAAATTGATTTTCTTATGAACAATGCTATAGCACTTTCATTTTTCTCTTCCTGTGGTAATTCAGCCTCTTTCTTTTCCAATGTGTCATACAGATTCAAGCTTTGTTTTCTTATTTCTTATGTATTTCAACTTGAAAATGTAAATTGTTTGTATGTCTTTGTCCACTATTCCAGTAAGTAAAACACTTGATGTTGAAAATACCTAATGCTGTGGGTTTAGGCAGGCGAGACCCCTGCCCATTAGAAAGTATATTGCAAGTGTGCTTAAATCTGTACTTGAAGTTATAAAGTAAAAAAATTGTATTTGAATTTTTGAAATCATATTTCAGACTTTAATTTGGACTTACAGCTGAAGCCATGTCTCTCCTAACTTAAAAGCACAACAGGTTGCTGCAAGTACTGTCTATCTAAAGAGCATTTCTATCTATATGCTTTTCTAACATATTCTTGGAAGCTTGAGCATCTGTGATTGTTGCCCAGGCTCCTTTCTGAAGTCCTAAATTCCACTCTGACACACTGGAACGACCCTTTCATGCTAGGTGGAAGGGTAAGGGAAAACTTCATTCAGTGTGTGTATGACTCTATTTAAAAATTCAAACTTTATGGGAAGTATAATAGGGAAAAAAAAAAAGATTCCTTGTTTCAGTTTAATGGCTAGATACATCTAACTGTACAGTTCTTTCAAATAGTAACTTGCTGGTTTGTATAACTTGTGCTTTAAATAGGTTCATTTAAAAGTTGTAGACCTCCTACTGTTTTTTTTGTGTACAATTATGATCTTAGAGATATATTTTAAACAGTAATCTGAACTTGAAAAAACTAACCTGAAGTTAATTTTCAGCATTTTGAATTTTCAGTTAATCTTGTAAAACAATCCCCAGATCTCTCTCAATGCAGAATTAAAACCAAAGATTATAAGGTGACAATCTACAAAAATCATAAATATTATTAGGGAAAATAAGTTTCATATGGTTTAAAATGTGCTGGATTCAACATCAATAAAAGGAAGGACAAGAGAAGAAAGTAATGGAATATTGATTCTTTTTAAATAAATTACTAATAAGAAAGAAAGTTTTTTCTCATAAAATACTTCATTTAGTTTTATGCTGTGCTCTAGAGCAGCGGAGCCACCTGACCTCTAGGCACTGCTGTAGTACAAATAGTAGTGTACAGATGATGGGCGATTAAATATCGAGTAATCTTTTTCAGCTGCCAGTTGAAGCAAGGATAGAAGTGACTAAGAAGGCTATTAACACAGTCAAACATCTTTCTGAGAAATCAAGAAAAAAAACTTCTGAGAACGACATGCAAGATACCGAAAATCCGTCTGTTGCTTATGAAGAAACTCTGAATCACTTGCAGCAATCTCTTGCTCATCTGGAAACACTCACTCATAGTTTTATCACTTATTTGAAAAACAGCGATCAGGTAAGGATTACTGATCAGATGCTTCTTTTGAGTGTTACCACGACTAGCAGTGATGGACATCAATCTTCTGTCATATTTTATTAATGTTTTGTACGTTCGTTTTTGTTGACCTTGTTTTTGAAAGTTCACGTCCGTCAATCTTTTCTTTTTCATAGTAGATGTTAAGTCTTGGTAGAAAGAAAGACTCTGATACAGCCCTATAAATAAAGACTACACTGATTTGTGTTCAAAAATTTTCTGTTCACAGGATGCACTACAGAAGTATGGCTATTTATATGATTTGTCAAGGTCAGAGAAAGAAAAAATCTATGACCAAGCAGTAGCTATGTGCATAGATGGTCAACCCCTGGACATGATACAACAATTGTTACAAGTGGCTGTTGGAGATCTAGATCTTTCTCCCAAGGATATTGTCCAGTGTGCTGTTAAAAAAATTGTATGTATATTAAGGTAAGTACACTGCCACAATTAAGCCCAAAAATCTTTCTTCTGGGTTTTGGGTTGTTTTGTTGGTTTTTTTTTTGTTGGTTGGGTTGAGGTTGGGTTGGTCAGTTGGGTTTTTTTTGTAGCGAGTACTTGTTTGCTTCCAATTCTGGATTTTGCAGAAAATTGGGCAGTAACAGGAAATTACTTCTTGCATTGTTAATGCTCCTGTTTACCTATAATTTCATATTCGTATAAGACTGTTAAATTTTTCTGAGTTTGCGAAGCCTGGGCAATCTGAACAAAGCAAGCCACAGAACTAATCCTATTCACTGGAGGGTGCTTTTCAGTTGAAAACATTGGATTTACAGTATTGTTCCGTATGCATACTTGCGAATTTTTGGCAAATATACAATTGCACACAATTCTTCCCTCTTAAACAGAGTCAAAAGGCATGTTTGTTGGAAATGGTGGGTCCTCATAGAGGTGTTTGGGCAGTACAGGCCTAGCAATGGCTATTGCCACAACAGCTAGTTCTACAAGAAGAAGTACAATTTCCATTTTTGTAAAGAATGCTTCACAGTTTTTGCTCTTCTTTGATCTGCCTTTGTGTTACACCCTACCTCCAAGTTAAACAGCAAGCGTGAGTGGTTCATGCTTCTACAGCACTTAAAAGCAACAATGATACCCTAAAGAAACCCCGACCTGCTAACTTCTTGGAGAGAAACAGGTTTCTAATGTGAGGAAGGAGAATGTTTTGCTCGACTTTTTCAGTGTCGTCATTGTTACTGTTTCTTGCTGTTCTTAGTGCCATCATACTATGAGCAATCCCACACAATGTACCAGAAGCAAGACTTCGTCTTCATCTTTTTTGGGGATTCATAGCCTCAAACCTCAACAGTTTTCTTTTCCATGGCATGACACAAACCATATAACCAACTTGTTCATGCAACCTCAGCAAACTGAGTCATTTCTTATTTTAAAATTTTGGAGAAAGAGGCTAGGAGAAGAGAAAATGCAAAATAGCTATTTTCCACACAATTTATACTTCTACATCCCTGAGTAATTCTGTTGAGATCTGGGCAAGACCTGGATGATACAAGTGAACGTGAAATACAGTTGATGCTGACCATCTTGTTAACAGTGAGATTAAAGTTTGCATTAACTTCAGTACGGTGATCTTTCAGTTGAATATATTCTTTATTGTCTTGCATCCAAATTACAGTGCTAACACTTGCGAGAAACAGTATAAAACTACCGTAGTCATGGTGTGTTTGTTCAGTGCTAGTCATGTCTTGGGTGAGGGAAACGAGTCCTGCATTGAAGTCCTGCCTGTGTGATTAGCTACAGCCTCTGTACTTCGTGTGTTTTAACCCAGAAGGGACATGGCTTTTCTTCACAAGTTTGAGGCTGAAACTGCTACAGTTTGTCTGGCATTGGGGAGAATGTAGTCATCTCTGGGAATATAGAACTTAAAAATACCTGCTTATGGACATGTTTACAGACATGGTGAGGATGTGGACACAGGGGAGGGAAAGCTAAGCACACTGTTTGAAGAGCCTTTCAGTGAAAAAAGGTGCTCTTTCCTTATTTGGCACTCAATTCTAGCTCAACTTGCCATTCGTAACACCCTCTGTTAAGATTTGATAAGGTATTTGACCACTTTTGTAGCCATGGTGATTATAAAATTCCTTTGCCATGTAATGTGGGACTTCAGCATGTCCTTTAAGATTCAACCTTTTTCCTGCCACAGCAAAAATGAAGATATTTATTAGGGTGGTGAACTGATAGGGAATGTGGTTTGGGGGCTCAAATGACAATCCATGAGACAAGTGTACATTGAAAATGGTTTGTTAGGGTTGAAGGAGTCTGTGAAGGTGCCATTCTTTAACGAGGTTTAGGATATGTTGAAGTCCATGAATTTTTTTAGCTATATAAGAGCAACATGTCCTCTTTCCTGCCAAGGAATTACCAGCATTTTGACCCATGCCTTAGTGCAAATGGAATCTGTGTGTCTGTCTTGACGTTCTCTGTCAGAACAACAGAACCAAAGTTTGTCTTCCCAAGTAACCGTTATGCTTGATGGAGCCCTGCTTTCCTGGAGATGGCCGAACACCTGCCTGCCGATGGGAAGTAGTGAACGAATTCCTTATTTTGCACTGCTTGCGTGCGCAGGTTTTGCTTTGCCTATTAAACTGTCTTTATCTCAACCCACAAGTTTCCTCAGTTTTACCCTTCCAATTCTCTCTCTCTTCCCACCAGGGGGTAGTGAGTGAGCAGCTGGTTGGGGCTGAGTTGCCGGCTGGGATTAAACGACGAAACTGTCAAAGTGTTTGCACTCCTTTTTGGCAGAAAATTGGTTTCTCCTGTCACTCAGTTTGAGAGTGTTTGTAGCATTCTCAATGATGGTAGAGCTTTTGCACAGCAACATAAGTAATATTTTCTTTCTTGTCTGGGTTAGTCCATTTGATGAAGAATAATTTGGCTTTCGATAATCACTGTCCTGCTGTTTCTGACTGGAATATAGCAGTGTGATACGTCTGGATACGAAGCTCACAAAGTCCAGTTATTTCAGCTATAATGAGTCTCATTAACATGCAGAGTATGAGAAACATATCAAAATTCTCCTTTATACTCTGCTTCTTATCAACATTTTTCTGTGAACTGAATTATTTGTTGTTTTATGCATTGCAAGGCTGGAATGTCTGCAGATTGATTTAAAGTTTTGGGGCAGAGACCATGACCAATAACTCCTATGCAGCACTTTCCGATAAAGAAGAGAATTCCTGTCCCTCCAGTAGAGAAAAGTGTAGTGGCAAAGATGAGATTATTAGTCGGAGGCTTCAGATAAACTCATTTGATGGGTGATGTGACCTAATGGGATCAGTAGAAATTTTTTTTTTTTTTTTTTTATGCCCTCTTCTTTAGGGGGAAGATCATTTCATATGATTCATGATACATGGACAGATAATGATCTATGGAAAGTTTATCTACTACAGTGATAAAGAGCATGAAGCGAAAATCTAATCTAGCAAAAAGTAAAATAGAAAATACTTGAAATAATATCCCCCCTATCATGAAATTCAGTAAGAGGATAATACTGTAAAGTAGCATCACTCTAAATATAAAGAGCAATTAAAAGAAAGGTTATTGCTTAGCATATCTTTAGCCTGCTGGTATTAATGTTGTTACTGTGAATAAAATTGAATGCATCTCTGTCCTACACCCAGATGTTAGATTTCAAGCTGGACCGTAACACAAATTAGAACATATTAACCATATAGTTAATGCAAATATTCTTGCCTGTGTACCTGGAATGACAAACTACTAATGCAGTGTTTCAAGGGAAAACTCTTCAGGTTATTTATTGGAGCTTTGATATACAATGTCAGTATTTTATACAGTGGTTTTGAAAGAGATCATGTTGGAAAATTCCTTCTTTGACAGTTAACCTTCAAGGTAGCACTTGTAAGGCTCTAACACTGAACTTGGATTTTCTGTAGCTATGGTGACAGGGAGTGTAATTAAAGTACTGTAACCGTAAGTGTGAAGCAGGCCTGTATGGATTTGCAAAATCATGGTAGTGCCAGTAATTTACCTGAAAGTTAAGCATAAATCCACCACTTCTGTGATTCCAACAGTTTCATAAGTACAACTCCTCTTCAAATACAGTAAAATATCTTTTGTTATTAGCATATTTACTGACTATTGCAGAAGAACCTTCTAGAAAGTATTACCTTTATGAATGATTAATTAAGTTACTTTTTGGCTTCATTTTTCAACAGCATACAATATCACAGGCTTAAAAACTCTCACACCTTCTCACAAATAGACCTCTTGTTAAATATAACATGCAGTTATTTGCCTAATATTAGGTACCTGTATTGTAATTTCAAGAGCAGTATTGCCTCTTTTGACTCTCTAGTTCTGCCACATGAAATTCAAAGTAGAAACTCTTACATGTTTTGTACATGACATGTACAAAATCTTTCCAGCAGAGCATATCTGCGTATGACATATGTATTGAGTACTTGCTTGTTTGTCTATGGAAGCAACTCCTATAAATAAAAATCAGTTGCCTCTTCAGTAGAAATCGTGAACTTCTGAAAAAAAAAATATTTTGGTAATTATGATAGTTTAATTAAACTTATGTAAGATTCAGTTTAATCCATTACTTAAGCTCACTCACGTGGTATACTGGAGGCTTTCCATAATGTGTGACTGTAGGCATGTTCCTGGATGGTTAGTCAGGGAAGACAACTTATTAAAGACATTATGGCCTCTTTCATTTGCAGCTCCTAAATTTCTTATCTTAGATGTCCAAATGGATGTAGCATTTAAGGAAATTTTGAAAGTATTCACCTGGCAATAAGCAGGAAAGGTTTGGTGAAATCTTGAGTTCTTGTTTAATTGACACTGTTCTGTGAAGAAGGTAAAACCAGCTTTTTTAGACTGAGTAGCTAACTTAGAAGGAAAAAAACACCACAAATTTTTTACTATCTCATCTCACTTGAGCAGATGTTATACAGAATTATTTTGTAACTGGGGTATCATAAATTCATGGTATTTCTGATGGAAATGATGGTTTGGCATTAAGACTTTTTTCCTCAGCTGTTAATGATCACACCAACAATATATTATATTCTTATCCTTCTGATATTTAGAGGAAACAAACAGAAAGAGGAAAATAAGGCTGAAGAAATAAGACAATATCAAGTATTTTCAATGAATACTGTAACTAGGTTAAAAGATGTAGATGAAGTTAATTTGTTCTCCTTTCAAGTGTTCTTTGTACTTTATTGTGTTTGAGGAAGTTGATTAAATATGCATCACTTTTTTTCTGATGCTGAACTGAAATCAAAATAAGCCTTTATCAGTGTAATTACACAAGGCTCATACTTAGAAGTTTTGATTTGAACACTGAATCCTGTTCTATTGCTTAAAGCATGCATAAAATAGCATATAATCTGTGGAAGACTAATCCTTCATTAATTATATTTGTTTCTGTTAGTAGCTGCTTATTTTTAATCATTAATCATAAAGAAAAATGCAAGGCAACGATCTGTGGAAACTTGACACAATTACTTATCTCATAAGCTGTAATCTCTTTTTAGTTTCTCTAACCATTAGGCAGTAAAGGCAACATTAAGCTTAAAAAAATGCCAGCTTTCAATCTTTGTAGATTTCTTTTTAAAATATTTTCTTATTCTAGATAACTGTAACTTACTGTTTAAATTTTCCTGTCCTCCTGCTTAATAGAATAGTACCTGTCTCTCTATGACAAACTCAAAGCCTTCTATAAATTTCATACATCCACTGTACTTTAGAACTGGCTTCAAAGATGTGTTGTCTGAAACAGTGGTTTTCTGTTTTTAGACATGCCCATTAACTTTTGAGTTTATGTTTTTCTTTGACTCAAGTTTTTAGAGGTGCTTAGAGCCTGATTGTGACAGGAGCTAAAGACTTTCATTTCTAATTAGAGAGATGATGGGCTTTTGAAGAGCAAGTGCTAGGACTGTTCAGAACCAATCTCCAAAATCGAGGGTACCCAAAAGACGAAGTTTGCTGATGGTTCTCCTTTGATATGAAAGTTGCTTATGTACACTAAAGATAATTTAGGGTAAGCAGAGCTAGTAAGATCTCCCATTTCTGTAGTCCATGTCCTGTTCTTTTCTATTTCAGATAACCATCATTCTCTTCTTAGTATGGAAGCTTTATAAGTATTCTTCTAGTTTTCTTTGGATATGCCATGTTAATGCCCTTCGATGTCTTTTCGTTGCAAACTTAATTGAAAATAAAACACAAAAACATAATAATACTCAAAAATTTAAATTTGGTCTGTAAAGAGAACATTCATTAAGTGGTTTGTATCTACCTTCACTCTGGGAATGTATCTTAAGTTTACTTAGCTTTTTTAGCTTTTTTATTTCAAAGCAAACTTGAAAGCATCTTCTAATGCATGTAGCAGCTTGTGAAAAAACATAACTTGGATACTGCTGGTCTTTTTACCACATCCACACTTACGCAGTATCAGTGTGATCTAGATGAGAAGGGTTTTTTCTTTTTCTTTCTTTTTTTTTTTTTTTTTTAAGTGAAGCATTCATTTCTGTTTCTCTTTTTCTGTGAAAAATACACTTTCCCACCCCACCCTCTTGAAATCTTTCATGTAGTGGGCTTTTTTTGGTTGTTGTCGGTTTTTTTCCCCTGTGAAAATAGATTTTATCTTTTGGACAGACATGGCCTCTCTTTGGGAATCTGAAATCCTGAATGTTTCTGTACCATAAATTACAGAACCAGAGATTTGATTGTTACCAGTTAATCTGAAGATAGTTAGAAAAGTATCTAGATTTAAACTTCACTCTTCTAAAATTTATTTAGTTGCCATATGGTGGTATTGGTATTAACCATCACATTTCTATCATAGTCATAAGTAATACCATTTTTTGAGGAAAACGCTGATTTTACGAGCTTTCCATTCCTACTTTGAACTTTTGAGTGCAGTATAGCAATATAAAACAGAGGTAAACAGAGGTTCCATCATGCAACGAATTGTCTTGCATCTGTTCTGAATGGAGTCACATGTTGATTTTAAATGCAGTATTGTTCATTGAAGTGCTGGTCACCTATTAAGATAAAAATAAATAGAAAAGATGAAAGCTACCAGAGTGATTTCCCCCTCCTCCCTCTATATTTACTGCCTCTTGACCTGTGGAAGAACATTGCTGTTTAGCCGGAATGTCTGATAGGCAATGTGATTTACCTTTTTCTCTTCCTACACATGCATATTGGATCCTGTTTCATGGATGGCTTAATCCACCCTTCCTACGTGCTATTCTTGACTATATGTTCCCTCCTTTTTAATTTTGTTGGTTCTGGTAAGCATCAACCTAGTTGATTCAACTGAAAATTAATTTCTGAGGGGTGGGAAAAGAAATCTGCTGAATCAACACATAGGAGTCTTTTGAATCAGGTTTGTTTAAACCAGTAGTGATACTGCAAGATGATACTTGAAAAGATGGTGTAACCTTTAATCTGTTCAGTTGATATTGATGAGTTCTTTAAGGTAATGAGATTACGTGTAGATATTTTGCTGACCTAGTCTGTGTTAGAAGTGCTAAATTTTAATTATTCTTTTTCTTTCAAGTTTCACTTAAGTATTTTAGGTACTAGTTAAGCAGGGAAACTGGAAAATTGCTATAATTATTGAACAATTCAGGTAAATCCTACTGGTGGATAGAATTAGGTATGATATTAAGGATTATTTTTATGGTATTCGTATATCTTCCCTCAGTAGTGGAAATGGTGGCTCATCTACATCAGTGAAAGATTCACTTGAAATCCTAGAAGGCATCATTTCTGCAGTGCATGCAAGTGTTGAGAAAGGGTAAGAACTTACTGTATGAATTTTTTGGTTAAGAGTTGGAAAGATACTTTTCATGAAAGCAGCGAAGGTATGATAACTTAGTATGGACGATTTTTCTTCATGGATATGTGTAACAGATTTGCACTTAATTTTCTAAGACTTTATTCTGGAACAGGCTATAATTTATTAGCTTCAAAATCTGACCCCTGACAGTATCCTTTACTTGATCATTTGGAACAAAGCAAGTCAATATTATGGTGATTTGAGAAAATGTTGGGTTTGGGGATTTTTTTGTGACTACTGCAGATTGTATATCCACCAGGAGCATTTCACTGCTTTTGTTTCAGTTTAGTAGATGAATTACAAATAATAATAACTCACTTTCAAGTATCTTGATTTAGATATCTGCATTTGTCAATATTTGTAGGGTATAGTGCAGAAATAATTTCACAAATGCTGTATAATGCTTCAACACCTTTTTTTTCCCTCCTCTTTTGGGAATATCTTTATTTCCTGTCAGATAATGGTCTGTATGTCTCACAGACCTTTTCCTTTACATTTCTAGTAAAGACAAGAAAGGAAAACAAAATCCATTTTCTTTCATACAAACAAAGAACTCATGTATGATAATAGTAATAAAACCCCATACTCTCTTATAGCCAACAAAAACAATTATACTTTGTTTGGAGGCTTCTCCACTCACCAATTGTAATCCAATTATTTAAATATTAGATACTGACATAGACTGAATTGATGTTAAAATCCACAGTAAATCTCATTTGCAATATTTTAAGGTAGAAAGGGAGAGTCGGTACTATTTTATTCTGAGATGCTCTTTCTGGAGTCTTTTATTTGTATACTTCATCAACATTTAACTGCTGAAACAATAAGCTGGAGTGGAAGTCATTGTGATTACAAGAGATTCTTTACATTCATTTAAATACTGGTTCTTATTTATTGCTTTAAACCTCAGCTGTTCAATTTACAAAATATAAATCTTTCCCTCAGGAAAACATATATGAATATCAGGTGTGAGCTCTACAAAACTCTTGAAATATTCCAGCAGGTCTTCTTAATTCCCAGACTTTTAATTTACTGTTTGAATGCCACCTGTTTGGCAGAGGCAGGTCTAATTTAGCTCAAGTTCTGAGCTAACAGCATCATCTAGACGATATAAAGCCTAAGTAAAATTGAAATCCTTGTAATATGAAAACCTAAGCTGTCAATGTTTATTATTTCAGAGCAGCAAGACAGGTTAAATTGGTGTTTTCGGTCTGATATTACTTTCCCGTCTGTCTTGTTAAGACAAATAAGGGAGCATTAGCTATAAATCATACTCCACCTGGAACCGCTGTCTTGATTTATTTTTTTTTTTAAGAAAAAAAAATTAGCTTTAGTTTAAAGAACTGCTGAAAGATAGCAGAATAGCATTTACTGATTTGTCACATGCTAATCTATAGCCTCTAAGGGACACAACAGATTATTCTTTCTGCAACTGCTAGCTGATTGGTGAGTTCGTGGTAATCTGTGTACTGTAAATGCTTTCACACAGTTAGAATGTATTCAATATAATACCCTTTTTGAATCAAATTATTTAATTAAGAGTTTTCCTACCTAACCAGTCAGGAAAACCCCCAAAACTTAGATTTTTTAACATCTCTTTTTTTCTTTCAAAGGATTATGGGCATTCTGCAATCATCATCATACTAGAACATAACAATAATCAAGCTGACTAGAGATGGTACAGAAAAAAAGAAAATGGCTAGAACTACAACCAGGAGAAACTAATGTTTGTATGTGGAGCATAAAGAAGGGATGTGTTAAGGAAAGAAAGAGAATATAAGACAAGATGAATAAGCATCAGATATAAGAATGTCATACTTAAAATGCAAGCAGTCAAGCCGATTTTCCATAAAGACAGATGGCGTGGAAATACAGGCATCATTCAGGATCAGGCACCATAGAACGGTTTGGATTTTCAGGTGCTGAAATCCAGCACTATTACAATATAATTGGCAGTCAAGGTAGTATGTGGGAGAATATGTAACTCTATAGATGGATTTCAATGGTATTAGGTGATTATTTTAAATTCGAAGAAAGTTCTTACACCATTTAGCTTTAGGCACATAATTTACGAGGGCTAGTTTCTCTGCAGCCTCACAGAGGTGAGCTCTTCCATTTCCAGTGTTATGTATTTGTTATGTATTGAGTGTACATGTTAACAGCTTTGAAAATACACGTAGTACTTTCATTAGGATTGCCAAAGACTGTTTAACACATCATTGTTTCATTACAGGGAGAAAGTAGTTTCTTCAGATGACCTTCTGGAGTGGTTGAGACCTTTCTGTGGTGATGACTCTTTAGCAGTGAAGCCTCGCATCAGAGTATTGCAAGTTTTGGAGCAAGCCTTCCATCTCAGTGATGAGGATAGCAAGCTACTTGTGTACTTCAGAACACAAGCTGTTCTGAGAGCTTGCTGGCCTGAAACAAAGGTATTAATATTGATTGCTATAAATGTTACCATAAGACTGGTTTTATACAAGGATTATATGACGAAATGCTGGTTTGCAATTTATGGTTGCAATGCATCCTGTTGGTATGGGAACTAATCCTACCTTCTTTTTGAATCAGGTTTCTAATACATTATGATTCTTTGAAAAGCATAGTTATGTAAAGTTAATGAATTCCTCAGCTTTTGTTTGGGATCAGGAGTACATGATACTGAACTTGATTAAGCAATAATGATTTTCCTCTATGTCAAGCATTGACTTTGAAGTTATTGTGTATTCTTTCTTTTCTGATCATTTTTTTCTGTCAATTTTACCTTCTCTCTTTGTCTTCTATCTAATGTGTTATTATAGTCAGAATTAGAATGAGAATTTTTGGCCACTGTCTCTTTTTTTTCTGGGGTCTTTAAGTGTTATTCCATGGTTGAGAACATTCTCGAATGGAAAGACTTAATTGATAGGGAATGCATTTGGTCACAATTAGTCTGCTATTGTCTCTTATTAGGCAGCATCTAACAACTGAAAGACAGTAGTTGCTTAAAAACTGTTCACACCTTTAACTGCCTGAGAGATAATTTTAAGTCTTTTTCAGAGTAAAGTCAGGAAAAAAATAAGATAAAATCATTGGTGAAAGAAGGTACTCTTAGCTATTTATTTGTTTCCAACTAAGAGAGACAGAGTGCTTCTAGTTTAAGTTTTCAAGTCTAGGACAGATTAACTTCCCTAACATTCATTTTTTTTAAGTATATGTAAAAGTTGCTCTAAGACTAATAAGGATTACCCAGTGAATATTCTCAGGAGTGAAAATGCTCAAGTTTGTCAAGTAGAATGTTAAAAACTCCTTATATACATAAAGGCTCCTGTTGGTTGTTCATTAATATTTTATCTGCTTTATTTCATTACTTATTTTGGTGAAGTGCTTAATATCAACGTACGTATTTTTAGAGGTTCTGCATTTCTGAGTACAATAAAAATACACTAAAGGCTTAACAAGAAGAAGTAGTCTTGTCTTTGAAGCTTGTGCTGGTTTGAAATCACATGAGTATCACTTGCTGCATGAAGAATTATTCAGAAGCAGAGTTACTTTTCATCCATTTTCTAAATGCTCCCCCCTCCCCGCCCCAGACCATATGGAACTAAAGTAAAATATTTCTAATACTTTCTCAAAAATTCTATGCACAAAAACATTTTATATTCAGATAAAACAAAAGCAATATCTCAGTTTTGACTCACTGTGCTGAGATCATCCAAGGGAATAATCATAATAAAAATCTTAAAAGAAAATGCTTATCTCTTGTTTTCTTTAGAAATTACTTTTGCTCTTGCATTCACAATAATACCAGCACTTAACTCCTCAGCTGCTCTTCAGGTGTCTCTCTATGATTGGATTTTTCGGTTCTTTGTCAGTATTTGTGTTGCCTGTGACCCACTTTCCAATCCAAAAGCATTTCAAGTCTAAAAGATTCAAATAGAGTATGTTTTGAGAAAAAAGTTACAGATAGGTAATAGCTTTCAGCCATGTCTGTAGAAGACAGAAAACAACCTGTATTTGACAGAAACCTTGCGAGACTCTTGTCCCACACTTGTTTGAGAAATGTCTAATATCCCATCTACTTTTATTTTCTCCCATAATCTGGTGAGTCAAAATGTATATACATTTACGACATGAAACTCGAATCCATTTACTTTTTTCTCATGACGTTTTAGGAATTAATTGAATGCAGTGCATGTGCTACTGGCTCACGTGTAGCTCTCAGGACCCTCAAGGCCCTCTCAGCGGAGCTGCTCCCCAGCCTGGCTGTCCTGGGTGCAGCACTGCTGTTGAACCTCGTGCGATTCTTGTTGGCCCCATCTTCCAGCCTGTTTAGGTCTCTCCATATAATATGGTAATAATTTCTGTTTCCTGAAGTGGTGTATTTTTAGAATACTTCTTGCTTTGAGCAGGAAAACACACCTGGTTTTTGTGAAGAAAGAAGTTTGCACTAACTGTGAGCAGCAGTCCGTTTGCTGATCACTTCAGTGCTCTACTCTTTTGCTGATGTGGAAGCAAGTAGTGCAAGAAGCCATGTAGTAAAAAGCTTAAGTACTGTTCTAGATACACTCAAACCTTTCAGAGCTAATTATATAAAAGTTTATATTAGTGTTGTATACACAATTATCTGTATATAATATGTTTCATGCTTAGCAGTAGAGAAAGCTGTGCTTATATGTGCATATATATAAATCATGGTGTTTTCACCCAAATTCCTGCTATACAGTGCAATTATAAGAGTCCTGTTGGAACATTTAAAAATATTCTCATTTTCATGTCAGTTCAAGCTAAATATGATAGATGAGAACCCTTTGTTTTCATTAAATATTTTGTGCTAGGTGATCACTAATGTGTGATTCAGACAGAAAAGCGTTACTGGTTCGTCATTTAGGTACTAGTCATTGATATTTGGAGTTATTCGCAAATGGCCAAGAAAAAAAAAAAAAGAGTGAGCCACTACTTAAACCATTTTTTTTTAATTCCAGTCAGCTGGTGTCAAATGCTAGTCTACAAGTTCATACTGGAAAAAGCAAGTGATGGCCTTATTTGATTACATTTGATTATTTTGTGAATTAACAAACAGGGAAAATAGTGTGATAAAATAGCATTTTGAAAATGGTATTCTCTGTATATATTTCACAATCCGTCGTGCTGGTTTAGTGAAACAAAACCACTGCAGAATTCAGAAGTTGCATGACTGCTGAAAAGTGAAGAGAGAAATTTGTGTGTGAGCTTTTGGCAAAACATTGATTAGGCAAGTTTCTCGTGCACATTAATGCGTCAGGTGCAAAGACCTTCAAAAGCAACCTCATTCTATGGAAGAGGATGTTGAAGCACAGTTTAAAACTTTTATCAGGTTGCTGGGTAATCCTGGATGAAGCAGGGTCAGAAAGTAGACACGAGGAATTCTGTCTTTCGAATGTGTACTCAAACTGCTATGTCAGTCTGCCTGCTTCATCTGTAGGTATCAATTTCTCTAACATCACTGCACCTTTATTAATTTGATTATCCTTTCTCATCCAGTGATGTAATAAAACCTTTGATCACGATAAAAAAAAATAAATAGAAAAGAAGGGTTTGGGTGGATCAAATGCTATTTTTAGCTTGTAGAGGAGTGCATTTAAAGGTTTGGGTTGGGTTGGGTTTTTGGTTGGTTTTTTTTGTGGGTTTTTTTTAAATGAACTTGAAGTTGTAAATATTTCAAGAGCGTGTTAATCATCTTACTTCCAGGTTGTTTTATCCTTACTTGCTTGACATTTCTTACATGATTTTAGGGGATCTCTGTTTTTCCTTTACCATTCCTTGGTACAAAAAGGGACAGCAGATATTGTAAAGGATGAATGTGGATTTCTATTGAGTAAAGATAAGTTTAATGATATTGCAGTGTTCAATTACCAGAAAATGTGTGAAAACCACCCTCACTGTGTCTACTAATCCTCTTAGTCAGACTTTGCATACATCAAGGAGGGACTTAATATTTAATTATGCTCTGGGTGCTGTAAGTAGTGGTCCCACAAATCAATGTGCTGCTGGGAAACAGGCCAGCTCTTACAAAATTAAAAATGTACTTTATGGAAGCAGCTACCTATCAAACAGTCAGAAACACAGCAATTTCCAGTTCTCTAATGATTAGTTAACAAAATTAAAAATTCAAGGGTCCTCATTTTTCAAAGGCTTGAGAGTCTTTAATTCACATTCCAGCAGCATCCCACACTACTGGAGGGAGGAGGCATGCGTTGTTTTAATCCCCTTGATGAATTTTATCTGAGCTCTTCAGGTTCTGTAATTTTCTAGTTAACTGGTGCATGAAAAATATGGGTCAAAATACTGACTTTTTTATATATTAAAAAAATGTTGAGAAGGGTGAGAAAAAGGTGGTTTAGAATGTTTGTATCAAATTTTAGCTTTCTCCATCTAAGATGGGAAATCCATTTGTTTTCGTATAATGTATAAAAATATGGTCTGTAATGACTCACAGCACTAACATACATAAGGTACCAACTAATAGGTTATGTGTGTGTACGTAGTCGTTCAGTTCAGTGACTAGTTACAAAGCATAAGTTACACTCATAAGAGTTTTGCCCCAGGAAGTTACAGCGGCACTAACAAAGCTTCTGTAGGTAAACCAACGGTTAGTTCAAGATAAGAAGTTAGTAATTGCAAAGTTTCTGTAAGACACACCTTGTCTTAAAAGGATTGTTTCATTATTATGCAAATGCAAAATGTAATTACTATTTGCATGCCACTTAAATGCAAATAGCTTTGTCATTTAGAGAAGGTAATCTCATTTAGCCTTTCCCCTCATATTGTTATATTACGTTTTTTTCATGATCTAGGGGTATACAGAGCTGCTGAGAGCTAAGCGTTTTTGAAAATTGGAAGGAATATCTAATACGAATTTAAGATTCTAAGGCACCTTTCTTATTTTAAGTGGTTTTTTTTTTCCGCCTAAAGTGGAAAAATTGCCAGATTAATTTGTGTTGGTGTTGTGTAGTTCCCACATACATTTGCCTTTACTTCATATAGGCAATTTATATGTGCCATATGCAAGTTTTATGTGTCTCGGCAACTTTAATAATGTCTACGTTAACATAACGACGTTCTGAGAACTTGGGCATGGCTGTCAAGCCTCTATTGCTTTTTTGTTTATCTTCCTCCAGTATGTGAAAAATATGAATCTGTTTACATGATATGTCTCTTCATATGACTTCATGAAGAAAGGTCTCAAAGGAAATAATGTCCCGTGATTTTCAACTTTTTCCCATTGCCTCTGCTGGTGTCAGAGAGATTTAAACATAGGGATTTGGAAAGCACAGTGAGATTTAAGAATTTAAGAATTCCCAAGTAATTTTGTTGAAGTCATTTATGAGGTAACAATGATGTGTATTTAGCTTGATCTGGCAAAATATAAGTGAAGGAGCTGTATCTGTTTAATCCTCAGCCTTTTTTTATT